CAACTTGAAGTTAAAGACAATTAAAACAAGTCCAAGAGAGCCAAAATATAATCTTGAATATCTCCCTCCTGAATTTAGAGATAATTTAAAGAATAGATTTGATGCATTGAACACCAACGACCGAAAACCAGAAGAATTGTGGGAGGATATCAAGAACATTATTCATGAAGAAAGCAAGAGATCACTAGAAAGATGAGAAAAGAAGAGAAGACCAAAATGGATGACAGAAGAGACTCTGAAACTTGCCAGGTATCGGGTATGGGTAGGTAAATGAGGATATACCCACAACCATACTTCCTACATGCTCTTAGTATGTGCTAGAAAAATGTCCACATGCAGTATAGAGCTAACAGGGGACAAAGTTAGGATAACTTCTTAGCCACAACTAAGGACCTGGAGAGTGAGTCACTGGACCTGAGGGCTCCAGACGGTGGGGGGGGGGGCATGTGGACGAATAAATTCCTCATTGATTGTCTATCATATGTAGTCTTCCTTTGGTTTCTGCTCAAAGTTTAAATCATCTGGAATCTTAGATTTGTTTCATTTTTCTTAGTAGGGGAGAGGCGAGTACAGATCAAGGCCTAAAAGATGCACTTTGATTACCTTGGGAAAGAAAAAGATTTGGTAGATCTTTTTTGTTTGTTTGTTTCAACGTTAGATACATGCTTTCATATTGAATGAGAATAAATGAATTTTAGTTGTAAGTTTCTCATTTGGTCTGATCATTTCCTTGATTTTCCAATAATCCTTTTCTCTCAGAAGCATGTTTTTGACATATTTCCCATTTCAGAGTTCAGTGTTTTTTTAGTTTTAATTTTTTTTAACTGTTTCATTTCAGAGACCAGTGTTTTTGATTGTCTGGTAAAATTCCATTGAAGATGTAGCTTCATCTTTGGACTACTTAGGTTTCTGTTTTGCACACTTGACTTCCATATTAGCATATTTCTCCTGAGTACTCTTCCTTGTCTTGTCTTCCTGAAGAAGACTTAAGTTCAGCTCAAATCAAATGTCATCATCTTTCTAAAGATTTCCCTAACTTCAACCTATTCCACTTCCCAGGATGCTTACACTCTCTTTGGAATCATTGATTTTACCTTTCCGATTAGCTCTTGGTACACAGCTTTGACAAAAATAATCATTCTGTGTTGTAATCTATTTACTTATATGTCTACCCACCTAGGCTTGACTCTTCCAGGTCACTTCTTAAAAGATTCTCTAATTTATTATTTTTTTCCCACTCAACCCTGAGAGTAAATATATAGCTGGGAGCTCTCTATAAATAATCACCTAACCGTAGCTGAATTCAAGGACAAGTGGGTCTGTGGCTTCATTGATTTTGGAGGTTTTATTTCAGAACAAATTCCCGGACATTGTTTCTCCGATTGCATTAATTTCTCTCAGATAAAAGGAGCTGGAAATACCTAAAAGGATGACCTGTTTTATGATTAGACTCGCAGGCGGTCGGTTGCTGTTTATGGTCAGTATGGGGGCCAATCCTGCGGTGGAAGTGCTTTTCAAAGGCAATCCTGTGAACCTACCCAAGGATGCCCAATAGAAGAGGGATGTGGAGAGCGTTTCAGGTGTTTTTCAGGTAATTTGTTCCCACAGTCTCAGAATGCAGATTGTAAATTCAAAAGCTATTTGAGAACTTGCTCAATACATACTTGTTGAATTTTACTGCAGTTATATTGGCCTATAAATTAATTTTCCCCAAGTATCAGCAAGATTTTTGTTGCCATATTAACACACGTTCATTTATCATTCTTTCACATACGAGGAGAGGCACCTGGTAATCGAAGTGGAACTCTGGCCTCTTTAAATTGACCCATGATTATTGACAGACCCAACAATTTCTGACATCACTTTTGGTGAAGATGAGAGGTCTGGAATGAACCCTGGGATTGAACAAAAGCAATTTTACTGCTCAATTTATTGTTATATTTACAAGAAAACAAATTATTAGCTTATCGAGGAGCAATACAGGTCATCTCTATCTACAGTTTGTTTAAAACATAGTTTTGACATTAATATCAATTAATCTATTGTCTGTTGCATTTATGTAGTCAGATTGATTCAAAAAACTTGAGCAAACATTTATTATCCTTGCTATGTCCCAGATAAAATGATGAAGGTTGTGAATGCAGAAATGACATGTACAGTCCTGAACAATGTTACAGTGTTATGGATAGAAGTGAATATAAATGAGTACTCTCTGTGGTGGAATGACTCTCCAACATTATCCGTTGAGGAGGAATTATAAAATAAGGCATTTGATCAAAATAAAATGGCTAACATTGGGTCCAGGCTCTAATGCCGTCTTGTCTTCTCTGGGTCGCAGCAGTCACAGCAGGCACTGCCATCCAGTCTGATCCGATTCGTGGTGACCCCTCCTTGGGTTTCCGAGGTGGTATCACTAAGGAAGTAGATTGCCCAACCTTCCTTCTGAGGAGTGGCTGGTGCGTTTGAACTTCTAGCATTCTGGTTAGCAGTCAAGTGCCTCAGGCACTGCACCACCAGAGCGCTCCCTTCTCTGGACCAGCAAACTCTATTCACTTCTAACCTAAATTTCTACTTCTAACTGAGTGTAACTACAGAAATGTTTTTTCTCTGTGGTCAAGGCCACATTCTTCTTGCAGATGTGTTCCTAGAGCTGGTTGGGACACAAATGATTATCCGAAAACTCCCTTATGGAGGATGTTCTTAAGAAATATGTCACCTTAAGCAAGATATTTTCATCTTGCTTACCATGTTAATACAAGGCACTTTGATTTATGTGTGATACTCTGAAGAGATGCCTGCACTTTACAATCTCAGGAAAACCTATGTCTTAAGATAGTTAATCTATATCTAGCAAACCTGTTTGTGATCTGACTACAGGAACAGGCCCTATCCTGTCATGACCTGTGGCAGTCTGCTGCCTTTTGTAATTGTGTCTTTTTTTGCCGGTCAATATATTCCAGTTGTATTTATGTAAGCAGTAATGTTAATAATCACTCTTTGCTTTGTCCAACCTTTAACTGACATCCATCACTACAAACCAATTAGAATATTAGTTATTAGTTCCTGGTTTAGCTATATAAATATTGCCTGCAACTTCTTGAAGCATTTTACTTTGTAAAGTATTTCCCTAGCTGCAACTGTGGCTGTTCCTTCAATAAAACTCTTTACTTTCATTTTTAACTTCCTGATCTTGCTCTATGACACTGCCAAACTCCTATTTTACTTTCAAACTCAAATCACATGGTGCCTCCTGTGGGAAGCCTTCCATAAACCCCCACTTTAAAGAGCTAATTAACACTTCACTTCTCTATGTTTCTTATGTACCTTCTACCACCCTGTAAGCTAGACTAATTTGTTAGCCTTCATGTCTCTATTGGTAGACTGAGAACTCCTTGATGACATAGATGATTTTTTTTCATTTATGCATCTGGAGTTCCTGGTAAATACTAGACTCTTAATAAATGTTTGCTGCATTGAATTGAGTGGCAGTTTAGTGGGCTGCTTGCTCTGATAGTTGTGTGCAGAGCATACTATAAAGTCATAAGAAGGACATGCACTCTAGTTTGTGGGGTAGGGATGATAGGGTAGGTACTGACTGTGTGAAGATAATGTTTAATTTGATTTTTTGAGGGACAAATAGAAGAAAGATAGGGAAAACCTTTCTATCAGAGAGGACTGTAAGTACAGGTGGCATGCCAGTGGCCCAGTGGCTAAGGCATAGGATATTAGGAGAAAAATGACTGGAGAGGTTGCTAGGGAGATAGACAGGGGCTAAAACATCTAGTGTCCTCCTTCTGTGCTCCTTTGGTTCCCTGGGCCTATGTGTGTCATAACAATCATGGTGCTGAATTATAGTCGTCTATGTCTTCATACTCTTTCCTATTAGACTGTAAGGTACATGAAGCTTGACCCAGTTTATTCATATTTGTACCCTGACATTCAAAAGAGTGCCTTACCCAGAACCACCCACTGGCACCAAGTTAATCTTCACTCATAGCCCCCCTTTAGGACAGAGTGGAGCTGCCCCAGACGGTTTCCGAGGCTATAAATCTTTACAGAAGCAGACTGCCTCATCTTTCTCCTGCAGGGTGGGTTTGAACCACTGACCTTTATGATTAGCAACCTAGTGCTTTAAACACAGCACCACCAGAGCTCCCCCCTTATACAGAGTAGGTGCTAAAGAAATGTTGTGTTTTAACATTTTGGCCCAGTTCCCATGCTCTCAAAATTTCCAAATCTAAATCACCAAGAAAAACAGTACTTTGGCATCTCAGTCTGAGATTACAGAAATAAATTGAAAATTGAAGAGCAGGAAGACAATCTATTTTCCCAGTAGGTGGCTTTACATGATTTTAGAGGATTCAGAATAACCACTTGATTATGGGTGAAGAAACCGGGATTTTGAATTCAAGTTCTATTTTCAATTTTGTGTCTTGCCAAGGAGAGAATCAATTCTGTGTGCTGCCTCACCTGGACACCCTGAGAAATTATCTCAAGCTCTGATGGCACAGTGGTTAAGGCATTTGGTTGCTAACCAAAAGTTTGGTGGTTCAAACCCACCAGCCACTCCGCAGGAGAAAGATGAGGCAGTCTGCTTCTGTAAAGATTTACAGGCTTCGAAACTCTATGGGGGCAGTTCTACTCTGTCCTGTGGGATCACTACAAGTCAGAATCAACTCAATGGGAGTGGGTGGGTCAAATTAGACTATTAGGGCAACGGTGGCAGGTGGGAGAGGAGCCTTCTTAATCCTGGTAGATTAATCCTTTCCTCCCTGTTTCATTTTCTTGTGTTCAGGTCACTGCATCAGTAAATCTTTGGTTTGCAATGGAGACTCTGACTGTGAAGAAGATAGCTCTGATGAAGACAGATGTGAAGAGTCAGAAAGCAGACCTTCCTGTGACATTGATAAACCTCCTCCAAATGTAGAACTTACCGGAAATGGGTAAGGTGCTGGGCAGCTACAAAATGCAGTCTTTCATTTTGCTTCTTTTTAATTTTTTTTTTATGGTATGGCATGGAAAGTTTAAAAGCAAATCACCATTAGCTCAGAGCTCTTTGCCACATCCTGAAACAAATTTTTATAAGTAGTAAGAGGTACATGTGTAAACATATCTGGTAAGATATGCCAGTTATTTCACACTGACTTGGTTTTGGGAGCTCTGGTGGCATAGTGCCTAAGGCATTTGACTGCTAACCAGAAGGCTGGCAGTTCAAACCCATCAGTCACTCCTCAGAAGGAAGGTAAGGCAATCTACTTCTGAGAAACCCAAGGTGGAATTGCTATGAGGTGGATCGGACTTACAGTAGTGAGTTTGGTTTTGGTTTGGACCTGGTTTTAACACTAAAAGTCCTGCATCCAAGTAAAATCCTCGGTCTTAGGCAAATCAGTACTGTTGGTCACTCTGGGGTTTGGTGGAGTGCTAATTGGTTTGCTAGTACTGCTATAACACAAACACCACAGAGAGAAGTACATTTTCTCAAGTTTAGGAGGCTGGACATCTGCTTTCAGGGTAACTGTGATAGGGGAAGGTTCTCTCTCTGTTGCCTCTGGAAGAAGATACTTGTTTTAGCTTTTGGAGCCTGGGTGTTCCTTGGTTACTGGGTGATCTGGTGATCTTCATGTGACATCTATCTTCCCCCATTTGTGCTTGCTCCTGTGTCTAGTTTGCTTTATTTATTTTTTTTAATAACTCAGTAGTGATTAGGTTTAGGATATACCCTACATTGATACAGCCTCAAAAACATAACAAAGAAAATTGTATTCCCAAAAGGGATTACATCTACAGGTATAAGGATTAGGATTCTAATACTTATTTTGGGACACAATTCAATTCATGATAGGTGCGGTGTAGTAAATTACCTGGTATGGCTTTTCTAGCCATAAGTCTTTGTAAACTCCATGGTGGAATTCACCTGAGCAACTGAGAAGCTCCTGGTTGTTAAAGTTATCCATCTGGGGTATTTCTGGTGCAAGTGGCACAAAACAATGTTCTGGGAAGTTTGCTCTCTCTCATGTGTTTAGAATTCTGATGTTATGATTGGTTAGTTTGACCACTCTGCCAGGCTCAAAAGGAGCCCTCCTGGAGGCAGAAGAAATCTCTCACTGCTGGCTGAGAGACAGGAGAGACACACATGTCTGAGAGACAGACACGAGAGACATGCATTGCTGAGAGAGAGACATGAGAGACATGCACTGCTGAGAAACACCTAGAGAGACTGTCGGCTGAGAGACGGCAGGCTGAGAGAGACTGATCGTGTTCCTGAACTTGAATTGTAGCCTGTTCCTTTGTTAATAAACCCCATAATCTGTGAGTTCTGTGTGGCCACTGCAATGAATTATTGAACCTAGCAGAGAGGTGGTGGGTGCTGTGGGAGGAATGGTTGGTGTATTGGTTGGTGAAAGGGCTGGAGGGAGGCAGCATGTCTGGGCTCACAAGAATAGACCTTAGGTTATTGATGGTGATTCTGTCTTCCTCTTGTGGGGTTAGAGGAGGTCAGAAGATGCCACCTCCCTGCCTCTTTGGCAATGGGATAAAAGAAGAAAAAGAGAGAGAGAGAAACAGGTGAGAGAGGGAGAGAAGGGACTGATTCTTCATGTGGGAGTACTCATTAATGAAGAGAATGAAGTAATGAAGAGAATGAAAAGACAAGTGAGTGAGAGCAGAGTGAGAAAGAAGAGAGAAATGGTGTGCTGTAATAAACAGACTGAAAAGAGATTGCTAAAACCAGCTGGGGACTTTCATTTCCAAGAAAAGTTGGAAAATCCCGTGTTTGTCTTTTCAAAAAGAATTCTGAGTAATGTTTAGGGGTCATCTGACCCAAGTAAAGTTTCTAGGGGTTTAAAAATAAGTACATTTCAAAGCAATGTTTGTTGTTGTTGTTGTTATGTGCCGTCGAGTCGGACCCGACTCATAGCGACCCCTCCTTGAGTTTCTGAGACAGTATCACTACAGAAGTAGATTGCCCAACCTTCCTTCCGAGGAGTGGCTGGTGGGTTTGAACAGCCAGCCTTCTGGTTAGCAGTCAAATGCCTTAGACACTATGCTACCAGGGCTCTCAAGCAATGTTTAGGTGCCATTTTTTCTATAATATTTTAAAATTTACTGACAGAGAAACAGGATAAAGTTACTCTAAGAGTATGCCATTCAGTATGCCAAGAAGCACTTAGTTGAAATTCGTGGTAGGGAGGCTTCTCTCCTCAAGAGTAGCCTTAATTGTATGGTTTTATCTGTAGATTCAGTTCAAAACAAACTCTTGTCATAGATATGATGGGGCTGTGTGCTTCGTAAATATGTTCTTAGGCTGAAAGGATGTTGGATTTTCCCAGCTATTGTTGTCACTATGTGCTGTTGAGTCGGACCCAACTCATAGGGACCGCCCCTTGGGTTTCCGAGGTGGCATCACTACAGAAGTAGATTGCCCAACCTTCCTTCCAAGGTGTGGCTGGTGGGTTTGAACCACCAGCCTTCTGGTTAGCAGTCAAGTGCCTTAGGCACTATGCTACCAGAGCTCCTAGTAGTATCTATTATAACAAGCAAGGGAAGTTGGATAATGCATAGGGTACACTAGGACTCTCTTGTCTTAATTTGAGCTCTCTCAAATTAAGTGCTTAAATATAATTTATTTCAAGAACTTCTAGAGTTCTCTAATGATGCCTTCTCCAGCAAGTGCTATTTCTGGTTTCTAACTGTCTTTTCTTCTTAAAACAGTTATAATGTTCTCACTGGCCAATTTAGGAACAGAGTCATCAACACTAAAAGTTTTGGTGGTCAATGCAGAAAAGTGTTTAGTGGAGATGGAAGAGATTTCTACAGACTGAGTGGAAATGTCCTTTCCTATACATTCCAGGTACTTAATTAAATTGATTTAATTTAGTTCTAATTTGTGAATTGTCAGAAATCATTATTTATGTGATGTTGATTTTTTGGTATTTGTTGAGAATTTATAACCTAATATAGTCTAACATACAGTCAGTTTTTTTAAGTGTTTCATATGGGCTTAAAAAGAACAGGTATACTTTAACTTGGGTACTGGGCAATGATGACAATTAGATCACAATTAGATGAAATACTTCATGTTCAACTCTGTGATCCATGGGGACCTAGAATCTTATTATGTGTTCCTGTATGAATGCTGAAACTCAGGGCTTTGGCCATGACTTCTTATGATGAAACTTTAGGACATCCATGTGTTCAGCTTTTATTTTGAAATTGTGAAGCATTTCATATATACAAGTGAGTGTGGATAACATACATATAATTTACAGAAAAAAAAATATATCATGGTAAATATATGTGTGAAAAGCCCTTGGGTGGTGCAACAGTTTGCACTTTACTGCTAACCTAAAGGTTGGTGGTTCGAATCCACCCAATGGTGCCATTGAAGAAAAAAGCCTGGTGATCAGCTTCCATTAAGATTACAACGAAGAAAACCCAACGGAGCAGTTCTACTTTCTAACACATGGGGTTTCTGTGAGTTGGAAATGACTCAATGGCAACTAACACCACCGCCGACAAATACATATGTAACAAAGTATTTGCCATTTCAATATTCCTCATATGTACAATCTAGTGACATTAATTATATTCATTTTGCTGTGCAACCATCCATTATCTGTTTCCAAATTTTTCCATCGCTCTTAACAAAATTTCTTTGTCTCCTAGTAATGAACTCCCTCTCCTTCCTCCCTCCTTCCCACCCCTGATTGTTGTTGTTGTTATGTGCCATCGAGTCGGACCCAACTCATGGCGACCCCTCCTTGCTTTCCAAGGTGGTGTCACTACAGAAGTAGATTGCCCCATCTTCCTTCCGAGGAGTGGCTGGTGGGTTTGAATCACCAGCCCTCTGGTTAGCAGTCCAGTGCCTTAGGCACTACACTGCCAGAGCTCTCTGATAGCCACTAATAAACTTTGGTCTCCATACACTTACAAATCCCAGATATTTCGTATAAGTGGACAAAAGTAATACAACAAGTATCCGTATATTCCCACCACCTACCTTAAGAAATAGAATATTGCTTATGCGCCCCTTCTGATCACATCCCTCTTCCATCCCCTAGGCAATTAGTCTCTTACATTTTCTATGGATCACTTATTTTTCTATATAAGTTTATTTCATATGTGTTTGTCACTAAACAAAAAATTCTTTGGTTTAGTTTGCTTGTGTTTGCAATTTATATATATAGAACCATATAGCATGTAGTCTTCTATGATTTTTTTTTCCTCACTTGAAATTATGATTTTGAGGTTTGTTCATACTGATCCAGATGGCTTATTTATGCAGTAATATGTACTGTTCTATAAATGGACCATAATTTATTCATTTGATTAATATTGATTATTTGGGCTGCTTTCAGTTTTTTTCTTATGAATATGCTGTGAACATTTTTGTGCCCGAGGCCCAATACTAAAGGGCTAGAGTTTCTCCAGGTCCTAGAACTTGAACTATTGACCTATAGATTACGTATATTTTAAACTTTACTAAGTAGCATTTCCAAAATGGTTGTACCAATTTACATCCCTCCACTAGCATCTTGCCAACGTTGGTCCTGCCTGACTTTCAAATTTTGCTTCTGGTCTCAGGATCCGGTCCATCTCCAAGCTTTTGCATTTTGTGTACTATTTCTGTCACACACACTAAGAGAATGAATCCTGTTCCTCGATTTCTACACAAAATCTACTAGGCCATATAGTTAAGGATTTGCAGAGAAAATAGAGGAAGGGTTTCTATTGTAATGGAGCAAGCACATTTAAGCATATCCGTTGGCAGCTTTGATCTTAAAATGTCCTTTCACAGCCTTGACAAAATGAAGCTTCTGGTCTCATTCTGTTTTATTCAGTCTCTTTTTTGCTCGCTTATTCCAAGAGCCTCTCTTTCTCTCCTTCTTTTCCTCAGAATTCCCAAAACATCCAACTTGGCTCTCCTTATCTATTATTCCTAAATTTGTTAACCAAAACTATTTGTATGCTCAGACAAAAGAGCCTTTTGTTTATCAAGATGAGCCCTCTCTGGAAAATAGCTTTGATTATAAATAGCCAGCTCACCATTCTTCCAATTTATAGTAAAATAAGTTACATTTAAGAGTTACTGAATCACAAAAATTAAGAGTGAAACAGATCTGAAAATTTAAATGTACTTTGGCATCTGCACTACCTTAGGCAATTATATAAGTTTAAGGCTCACAAAAGCCTTGGAAGTTAAGTAATATTCTTATGTATGTGAAGGCTGAGGCCCAGAGGACTTATGCTGACTTACTTTAAGTCATGAAATTTGTAAGTAGTTGAGTTTGGATTAATGTGGTGCAGTGGTTAAAGCACTTGGCTGCTAACCGAAAAGGTTGGCAGTTGGAACTCACCAGCTGTTCCCTGGGAGAGAGATGTGGCAGTCTGCTTCCATAAAGATTTACTACCCTTTGTGGGCAGTTCTACTCCATCCTATAGGGTCACTATGAGTTGGATCAGGTCAACAGCAATGGGTTTGGTTTTGTGGTTTTAAAACTTGAATAAAGAGCACCATGGTGCAATGATTAAGCACTCTAAACCAAGTCAAAACCAAACTCACTGCTGTCGATTTGGATCCGACTCACAGTGACCCCTCCTTGGGTTTCTGAGCAGTATCGCTACTGAAGCCCAACGTTTCTTCTGAAGAGCGGCTGGTGGGTTTGAACCACCAGCCTTCTGGTTAGCAGTCAAATGCCTTAGGCACTACATCACCAGAGCTCCCATTAAGCACTCTGCTGCTAATCAAAATATTGGTGATTCTAATCCACCCAGTGTCTCTGCAGGAAAAAGACCTGGCAAATTGCTCCAGTAAAGATGACAGCCTAGGAGAACCCTATGGGATAGCTCCACTCTGTCATGTGGGGTCAACCATGCATCAGAATTGACTTGATGACATCTAACAACAGAGCTTGAATGCAGGTCTGCCAGACTTTAAAACCTTTTATTGTTTGACCGTATTTTACTCTCCTGCTGTATTGAATTTAATTTCCTTTTCAATTCCAAATTCCACATGGGAAACAATATGTACTGTAATTTAACCTTTGGCCAAAAGGAAGAATATGAGTTAGGCACATAGAGAGATTTTTTTCCTTTCTATTCCTAGGAGGATGTATTGCTAATTCTTTCATAATTATAAGGGGGAGAATTTCATGTATATTTTTGGTCAAATTTAGAAAGTTATAGAGCAGAGAAAATAATAAGGAAGAGAATTTCTGACTTAGCTGGAAGGTAGACGTGATGGAAGGCTGCAGCTTCTAAAGAGGAATAATTTAGTAACAGCGTGATCCTGACATTCGTTTCCTCAGCATGGCTTGAATTTTGGATTGACATCTGAAATGTCTTTCCAATCATTGACTTCCAAGGTGTTCGCCAGAAGTAGAGAGAAATTATAGCCTGTTACTGAGTGAAAAATAGAGATGTTTTGAGGCTCGAGCTTGAGGGAAATGAGGTGGAAGCAACAGGCGGGTGAGTCAGTCAGGTAGGTGTTCAACCTTGATGTGGATATGGGGGCAATGAGCGTGTTTGGTAATTCATATATATTGACCTCAGGACCCCTGGGTATTCAGCTCCCTATGAGGTAGTTGGGAGCTCTGGTAGCATAGTG